TTTTAGAGGCACCCCCTGTTGATGCAGTAATTGATAACCCGCATTTCGATTTCGAACAAAATTTGGACTTTGAGTTAAATACAGATGATGAGTAAAATAAAAATATATCAAGTAAATTTTATTTATATATGGAATTTGGCCGGCTGACTGGGGGTGGTAAAAATCAAAAACTAATGAAATGAAAATGAATGTGTTTTCAAAAGGTTGTTGTTGTAACTTTTCTTATCCAATTAGTCTAATAGTACAATTATAACACTAGTTTACAAAATAATATTCTTGGTGTGCTTCCCAGCAATTGATTTAAATTCTGTTAGCGTTGGACCTCTAGACCACGAAAACAGCATTAATTTTTTTTTCGATGGCACAGTTTTTTTTTAAAGATTTTTTAAAGTTCGAAATGTTAAATTTCGGACTTTTTTCGAATTTCTTCTTATATCTCGGCAGATATCCACCCGATTGGGCCAGTTTTAGTTTTATTTTAAAGTCAATAGATCAGAGCTTAACTTTGCCATATAGATCAATATGATTGGATAAGTAATGGCAGCGCAGAAACTTGACAAAGATGAATAATGTGTTTTTTGGTCGACTGTAAGTCGGCTGTATATGTCGTGAAAACTCGAAATAAATCCGTTGAAAAATCATAATTGGTACAAACTTAAAGTTTTTAAATTTAGCTATTTTTTGACCCGGCTGCCGTCACCACTCACTTTTGTTTACATGTCGCCCCCTATGATAAATCTTAAATTTGGACTCTGTCAACCGAAAAAAGTGAAAAAATCCGAACTTTAAAAATCCACCATAAATCAAGTTTTCCATGGATTTGGGCCATATCCGGCTTGTTTTATTCGGTAGGATGTAAACTTTAAGTTTGTACCAATTATGATTTTTCAACGGATTTATTTCGTGTTTTCACGACATATACAGCCGACTTAGTCGACCAAAAAACACATTTTTTATCTTTGTCAAGCTTCTGCGCTGCCATTACTTATCCAATCATATTGATCTGTACGACAAAGTTAAGCTCTGATCTATTGACTTTAAAATAAAACTAAAACTGGCCCAATCGAGTGGATATCTGCCGAGATATAAGAAGAAATTCGAAAAAAGTCCGAAATTTAACATTTCAAAATTTAAAAAATATTTAAAAAAAAACTGTGCCATCGAAAAAAAAAATTAGTGCTATTTTCGTGATCTAGGGGTCCAAAACTAACAGAATTTGCCATCAATTGCTGGAGAGCATTTCGGCTGTAAACTAGTGTAATCAATACAAAATTACCAAAATATTACAAACTTCTGAAACACAGGGCGGCAGCACTACTACTATTTTGACCGCAGCTGTATACTTTTATGTTTAAACCCTTGTAGAGGGTATTATAATTTCAGTCAGACTTTTGCAACGCAGTGAAGGAGACGTTTCCGACCACATAAAGTATATATATTCTTGATCAGCACCAATAGCCGAGTCTATCTAGCCATGTCCGTCTGTCCATCTGTCCGTCTGTCCGTCTGTCCGTTTCTATGCGAACTAGTCTCTCAGTTTTAAAGCTATCGCGATGAAACTTTCCCAAAAGTCTTCTTTCTATTGCAGGTAGTACATATGTCGGAGCGAGCCGGATCGGACCACTATATCTTAAGGCTCCCATAGGAATATTCATGTCTAAAGATTACAAAATGAAAGACCGATTTTTAGGGGGATACGACCACAGCATAAACCATAAGAGCTAGAGCAGCCAAATTTTTTCACAGTATTCCATTGGGGGCGTAGGCGCCCACTAAGGTCCGACATGTCCCCCCAGTGGCCCCAAACAGCTCCAATATCCATATTTAGAGCAGAAAATCATTAGATTTACTTAAGCTTAGCTTCTAAAGTGGTTGGAATTTCGAAATATTAATTTTGCAGAATTTTAGGTCTTGAAAGGGCCTAATTAGAAATCTAAAAGAAATTTCGATATCCCCCATAATTTGGGGGCTACATTTAAAATTAACTTTTCGATTTAAAAAATCTAAACCGCTGCTCCGATCGAGATGATTTTTCCGTAAATGGTTATTCTATGGCCCAAATGCTTAAGATTAATTTTTTAAGTTTTTAACATTTTTTTAAAGTATTTTTAACGAATTTATTTAGATTTTCTAAGTTATTGCGTTGCATTTTGTGGGAGCCTGCCGAGAGAGCGAAACCCACAGAGCGGATGCCAAGAAAGCGGATGCCAAGAGAGCGACGGCCGAGAGAGCAGCAGCCAAGAAAACTGTCGTGGGGGAGGGGTAGTGCTGTGTGGAAGGGGGAGGGGAAAAAGGCAATTTAAGTTAAAGTGTTTTGAATTTTAAAAACTTAAACTGCTGTTCCGATCAATATGATTTTCGATCAAAAGTCAGTCGTGTAGATCAAATGCTTAGGTTTTATTTTTCAAAAAATATTTCTCATTTTGTAGCAGAAGTAAGAGCCTTATATTTCACCATGGAAGAAGATAAAAAATTACTACAAATTTTGTAAACAAAGCCAAAATGTTTCCAAGGTAAATATTAATCTTAAGATTCGAGCTTTTGACCAAATAAGTATGTACACATGCATATTTGGAAATGTTTTGATTTGTACAATGCAATACATTCACACAATGTGTGTTTATGTTTCTACTTGAAAGTCGATAATGTGCTTAAATACAAATAAAATTATTCATTTCATTTCAGCCAATGCAAAATTTGACGAGTTTAATATTAATAATTATCAATCAAATGTGGAATAGGAAAATAATAAGTTACTTCGCTACTTTTGTGTATACAAATGTTGTCGTTTCATTCAAAACATCAAATTTAAAAACAACAAATTCCAATTTACAAACAAGTGTACATTTGCGCGCAAATTAATATTGCATTGATAACATTGTAACTGATAGAAGGTATAAAAATTCACTACTTTTACTTAGATCGCATTCATTTATTATATAGCTCTACCTGTAGCCTTCGGATTCTCTCTCTTGAAGAATCTTCTAGAAAGGATGTTTACGCAAAGGGTTTCAACAAACGCGCAAATAAGATATAAGAAAGTCCTGACAACCTAATTTCCTAACTGCAAACTAATTTTGAGCGAACGAAGTCGCTCCGGGTATAGCTAGTATTGTAATATGTTCTAAGGCCCCTTTGACCATATTGTAATATGTTCTAAGGCCCCTTTGACCATCTCTAAGGATTAAAAAATGAAAGACCGATTTTTAGGGGGATACGACCACAGCCTAAGCCATAAGAGCTAGATCAGCCAAATTTTTTCACAGTATTCCATTGGGGACGTAGGCGCCCACTAAGGTCCGACATGTCCCCCCAGTGGCCCCAAACAGCTCCAATATCCATATTTAGAGCAAAAAATCATTAGATTTACTTAAGCTTAGCTTCTAAAGTGGTTGGAATATTGAAATTTTGATTTTGCAGAATTTTAGGTCTTGAAAGGGCCTAATTAGAAATCTTAAAAGAAATTTCGATATCCCCCATAATTTGGGGGCCACATTTAAAATTAACTTTTCGATTTAAAAAATCTAAACCGCTGCTCCGATCGAGATGATTTTTTGGTAAATGGTTATTCTATGGCCCAAATGCTTAAGTTTAATTTTTTAAGTTTTTAACATTTTTTTAAAGTATTTTTAACGAATTTATTTTGATTTCCTAAGTTATTGCGTTGTATTTTGTGGGAGCCCGCCGAGAGAGCGAAACCCAGAGAGCGGATGGCAAGACAGCGACGGCCGAGAGAGCAACAGCCAAGAAATAGGAAGGGTAGTGCTGCAGGGAAAGGGGAGGGGAAAGAGGCAATTTAAGTTAAATTTGTTTTGGATTTTAAAAACTTAAACTCCGATCAAAATGATTTTCGATCAATAGTCAGTCCTGTGGATCAAATGCTTAGGTTTTATTTTTCATTTTGTAGCAGAAGTAAGAACCTTATTTAATTTCCACCATGGAAGAAAATAGAAAATTACTACAAATTCTGTAAGCAAAGCCAAAATGTTTCCAAGTTAAATATTAATATTTATTATATAGCTCTACCAGTAGCCTTCGGATTCTCTCTCTTGAAGAATCTTCTAGAAAGGATGTTTACGCTAAGGGTTTCAAAAAACGCGCAAATAAGATATAAGAAAGTCCTGACAACCTAATTTCCAAACTGCAAACTAATTTTGAGCGAACGAAGTCGCTCCGGGTATAGCTAGTAGAAATATAAGAAAATTCATTGTAACTTTGTAGGAAGTAGGCGTTTTGATTCTTGACTACTTAAAAACAAAATTTAATGAATAAAAATAGAAACGCTGAATCTGGAATCCCTGGAACTGCACCGAGTGAGCATTCTTTTATCTGCAAGGGTATATAAGCTTCTGCTGGCCGAAGGTAGCTTCCTTTCTTGTTTTTGACTATGTTTTCTAGAATTTGTTTCTCCCTTAAAAACAGTCTCAAAATTATTCCAAGTATAGGGTTTGAAGAATAAAGAGTGTACCTTTTAAAAAACTTTAACATCAAAACAATCCATTAATCTGTTTGCCTCTGAGACCTCCGGAAAGTTGGCCAATTTTAGCGTTTTTCGAACTTTGAGGTCCTTGTGCTAAGAATCCTTGCGACGGGAACTTTTTGGAAAACGCATTTTAACTTGAAAATTCGTAACGATTTCAAAAATATATCATTCACTGAGGTAAATTTAAAAAGCATTCCTTTTGTTGCACAGTGTTAATATTAAACCAGTTTACAAAAAAAATCGATGAAATATACCATGAATGAAACCTCTGTTTTCCTGTAAGGCACGTCTTCCTGATTAAGAAAATGGCACTTAAAATTTTTTTTATGGATAAAAATTTTTTTAAAGTGTAAAAAACGTTTTAAACAATTTTTTAATTTATAACTTGAGTTGTGGTTAATCGATTTCCACCAATTATGTAAAAAATAAAAAAAAAACTTTATGTATTGCAATGAAAAAATTAAAATATTGGTAAAAATTTTAAAAATAATTAAAGAAATTTTGTTTTTTTACGTACCTGAAGAGCTGTACGGGATATTTGTGCATATTCCATCTGAGCCTCGGAAGCTCCATTGATGAAACGGACATACAACACAGTCGTCAATAACCCTACCACCAATACCCAAGTTGGCTCCTAGATGAGGGCAATATGCATCCAGAATAAAAACTTTTTGTTTTTGAGTGCGAAAAATGACTAGCTCTTCTCCCAAACATGAAATATATGTAGCCTCTCCTGCGCCTAGTTGGCATGATTCGAGGATACCATACCAACCGTTTGGATAAGGGGGAGGCAATTCAATTGCATTTTGATTACTAACTTTTCGCCACCGGTTAATCGTTTCACGTTTATGATGAGCACGAGTGTCATTCTCTGGTTTTCTTAAAAATGAACATTTGTCATCGTCCAGTTTCTAAAAATGTAGGGAGAAAATTGGGTATTAATGTTCAAATTTTTGCCAACCTTCAAAAATTTGGGCTGTATGTTTGTTTAGGCTGGAATGACACATTCAATTTTTATCATTAATTTAGTGTACAATTTTTTTGAAATTTTTTTCTTTATGGGAGTTCAAACAAAAGCGAGAGAGACAGGAAAACCATGAATTCGCCGCACAATTATTGCTGCTAGCAGCGCAGCAGGCGACTAGAGGTGGAGAAAAATCAATTTTTGGGAACATCAATGTTTTCGATGTTTATGTCAAAAAACATCGATGTTTATCGATTTTTTGACTAAAAATGGACATTTTTATTGGATTGGCGTATATTTGCATTTGTTTTTACACATATAATAAATAATTGATTACTTTTTTCCGTTTTGAATCTGAAGAGTATGGGCTCGACAAATTAGCTGGCTTTTCAAAGAATTTCCCCAGTAACTGCAGATTGCAATGCCGGTAATACTCTGGATTAGTGGACTCGGGAGAAAAGTATCGTCGATGGACCGCGATTTCTTAAGAATTTAATATAATCCCCCTTGGACAGCGATTTCTTTTGATTATCATAATAAAAATATATACGTAGTAGAATGCATGTTTTCATATGTCTAAGCATTTTCTTTTTTAATTTTACAAATATCTCTGACCAATTCAGCTCGAAAAACGTAACAAAATTTGATTTTTACTTCAAAAAAACATCGATGTTTGTAAAATATCATCAAACATCGATCTATCGATTTTCAAATCGATTTTTTCTCCACCTCTATTATTTACACTAGACACAATTTCAAAACATACTATGTGCCATGTTATGTCAAAATAAAAATTAAGCTTAACGCATATTATTACTTATAATTAAAATTATTCGTACGCAATGTTGCTAAAACAACAAAAACCAAACATATCAAGCAGTAGCCAAGTTGGTCACAGTACCAGGCACCCACCTGCACCCACTGCAGATAACACAAGTTTACAAAATAATATTCTCGAAGCGCTCCACAGCAATCGATTGCAAGTTCTGCACTCATAAAAAAAAACCGAAGAATTTCCTTAAAATCTTGAAAATGTTTTCTTCATTTTTTGCCAGAGGCGTCCTCACCTTTGATTCAAGAAATGGTTTTTTTAAAGGCACCATTAAAAACAAGAACAAATATATCTGGAAACAAGAAAGGCGATTCTTGTTTCAAAGGTGGCTTCTTTCTTGTTTCAGGAAATTAAATTTCTGAAAACAAGAAATTAAATTTCTTCAAACAAGAAATGGTTTTTTAGAATGGCACCTTCACAACAAGAAAAAATATTTCTTAGAACAAGAAAAGCAATTCTTGATTTAAGAAATAATATTTCTTGAAAGGATGTTTTACAAAACCTGAAAGTAAAATTTAACTTAGTTTTTTTTTATATTATATTTTATTTCAAACATTTAACACTTAACATTTAAATATTTTTAAATAACACACTTTTGACTTGAGAAAACATTTATTATTAAGCATACGAGTTATTATTGGTGGTGTATTTAATTCACATAATTTAATATTGTATAACACAAGGTCTGTTGAACTTCATATGACATAAGGTGATTTTAAAACTAAATATGTAGTTGCAGGTATCAAAAACCATTTTCTTCGCCTTTCCACAACTGGAAAATATAGAATTATTGGGATATCAAATATTAGGTTTAAGATAAACAACATTTTTTGAAATAATGTAATGTTACTAATAGCCAAAATACAATCACGTTGGTCAAAAGACAGAGAGAGGAGCAAGACAGGTAGAACACGAGGATAAAAGGGTTGAAAATCGAATTTCAGAGAGAGAGAGATCCGGGAGACGCATACATACATTCACATTTACATACAGGCCTTTGAGCGAAGGGAGACCGAATGTAAGCAGGGCAGATCATGACAATTTTAGAAGAAGAGAGAAACATCGCGACGCGTCGGTCGAGAGAGCGAGAGGAGCAGCCCAGCGGGAATGTGGGAAGTTGGTTTTTGTGTTCTTGAAATCCTGTTCCTTTTTGCAGGCGGCGGTGTGGGGTTAGATAATTTCTGAGCGTTAAATTAAATTAAATTAAATTTACTCGTCAACTATCCTATCTTAAAAAATAAAAAACAGACTTTTTAAACGTTTCAAAATTTCTGGCTTGCTGACGGACTGGGCCAAATATAGTTCTGCTAAGGCGGAATTTGTCCAGCACAATTCTGACTGTTATCAAAATTACCTGTCTCGTTGTAAGCGTGATTTCAAAAGTAATCCTAAACTTTTTTATTCTTTCGTTTATTAGCGGAAATCTAATTGTTACCCTCATTCTCTTTTTCTTAATAATAATATAGCATCTGATGACGATGATATTTCCAACCTATTTGCTGATTTTTTTCAATCGACTTATACGGAATGCAATGGTGTTATTGATAATGATTATCCATACCCACTACCTCATCTGAACTCTATCTTCAAACCAGTGATTAATGTATCCGATGTTCTTCAGAGTCTTGATACTCTTAAGCTCTCTTTTTCACCGGGTCCTGACAAAATACCAAGTTGTATACTGAGGAATTGTTCGTCCTATCTAGCTTTTCCTTTAACATTAATATTTAATTTGTCGCTAAGTCAAGGAAGATTTCCATCCATATGGAAGGAATCGTTTATTGTTCCATTGTTTAAAAAAGGGAACAAGTCAGATATCTCAAATTATCGTGGTATTGCAAAACTCAGTGCAATTCCGAAACTTTTCGAAAAAATTATTACCTGACAGTTGCAGCATCATTGCCGGTCTATTATTTCTCCGTGTCAACATGGCTTTACTAGACGTCGTTCTACTTCTAAAAACCTACTAGAATTTACATCTTTAATTACTAAAGGCTTCCTGACACATCATCAAACTGATGTGATTTATACTGATTTTTCTAAAGCTTTTGATTCTGTGAACCATAAACTTCTTATTTTTAAATTGTCCCGTTTAGGGTTTCCTCCAAACCTACTTGACTGGATACTTTCCTACCTTTCTAATAGAACTCAAATGGTCTGTTTTAACAATAGAATTTCCAAAATAATTAATGTTACTTCTGGAGTGCCACAGGGTAGCCACCTGGGTCCTTTACTCTTTGGCTTAATGATTAATGATCTACCTAATGTCTAAAAAATCGTCTACCGTATTAATGTATGCGGATGATGTCAAGCTTTGTTTGTCCATGTGTTTACCTAGCTCATTTAATGACCTTTAATTAGATCTTGACTGTTTGTATCAGAGCTTGCAAATAACTGTCAACCGATTTTCCTGAGGCAGTTTAATCTCGACAAAACCGAAAAAAATGTTGCTCACAAACTCTCTCTCTGAGCGGAACCCTTTTTTAGTTTTGCTTGTCGGTTTCGGTCCGACCGTTCGGCTTAACCGAACAAAGCAATCGGTCTTTCAATAACCACTCGGTGAGACCCTTTTAAGTTAACAGTCACCTAAAAGGGTTTCTATAAGACTACTGTTAAATAAAAGTCAAAAGAATGGGTTTTCTCTAGAAAGGGAAAAGTATAGGCCTGCTGTGATATGTGCATAAATTTTACATAGGAAATTAAGTTAATTTTAAAATTGCTTTGTACATATAAATGTATATAAAATTGTATTCTGAATTTAGGTTAGCTGCTATTTTTGTTGTTTGCTTCAATATATTTGTTGACTATATAAGGAACTATCTTTGACTCAAAGTATTCCAAAATGGATCGCGCGTTCTTTTAAATCTTTCGAAATATTTTGAATAAAACCAAATAATGTTGTGAAGATATTCTTAAATAGTTAGGACTTGATTTAAAGCTACATAAACAAAATTTGAAAAAAAGCTCTAATTTTTCCTGCAGCTAAAAAGATTCGCTTCTTATTACGTGGATTTGGTTATTAATTACTACATAAGAAAGATATGCCAAAAGTGGAGTTTTGGAATCGTAAATTATTTAAAATATGTAGAATATTGGAATTTAATGGTAAATGGGCTAATCTTACAGATTTAGCTTTAGAGAATACACATTACGTATTTTCCCTTACCCTTTTGAATTTTAATAATCAAAAAGCAATGTTACGACTGAAGCATTACTGAACAGGTCACACACACGCACTCATACATTCACATAAGACCGTTTTCCTTAACAGACCGAGCAAAGTAGTCAGTAGAAACCAAAACTCTGAGCGTAACATCTGTTAAGCAAAAACCCTTTTAAGGGGTTAGCTCTCACCCAGTTGTCATAGGGTTGTTTGTGACAGGTTTTTTTCCAACACTTTGAAAAGGTTGACCGAACCTTGCAAGCTCTGGTTTGTATACGTGGTGCATGATTAACATGTTAAATTTAAACTATTCCAAATGTAACTTTATGACCTTTTATCGTTGTAATCCATCTGTTTTCTTATTCTATTGGAAATAACGCCCTTGAACGAATTTTATCAGTTCAGGATCTTGGCGTTTTATTTGATCATAAACTTAGTTTTAAAGACCATATATCTACTATATCTAATAAAGCCAGAAGTCTTCTTGCATTTATGAAACGTTGGTCAAGGGAGTTCGATGATCCTTACACAACAAAGCTTTTGTATGTTTCTCTTGTTCGTCCGTCTATGGAATATTGCTCTTGTATATGGTCTCCTCAAATTAGCTGTTACCAAAATATGTTAGAGTCTGTCCAAAAACAATTCCTTTTATTTGCTCTGAGGGGATTACACTGGGACACAGGTAGTGGACTGCCCTCTTATCTTGCGAGGTTGCGCCTGCTCGACTTACCAACCCTCTACCATCGTAGAAAGTGTCATGGAGTTATGTTCTTACATAAACTTTTTAATGGTGATGTCGACTCCCCTTTCCTTCTTAGTTCACTTAACTGGAATGTACCCTGTAGAACAGTTCGCCGTTTTCGTCCGTTGTCCCTGCCAATATGTAGATCTAATTATGCCCTGCATGATCCTTTTCGTGTTCTGTGTGACGACTATAATTCACTGTGCCACG